ATTACTACGATTTGAACCACAAAACACAATCCTTGCATTTTGAAATGTAATTTCCTTCGAGAGATTAATCCATGCTTACTTGTTCGTGTAGAATCGTACCAACGACCTGATTATGTAAAAGTCCGAGCAAAATAAAGTGAAACACACAAAAGAATGAAGTGTCACTCTTTCATTTTATCTAAAATATTCAGCCACTCCCGTAGCAACATGCACAGCACAGCTGCATGTTAAATACTTCGCCGGGAATGCCCTGCCTCTATTGAAGCTTATCTAAGAAATATATTCGTGTTTGTAAACATTTTCTCACGCTTCTCCCGCGTGATGGGGAGTGACGTGGGGAAAGTGGCGATAGTAGAATTGTGATAAGCGAACATTAACGTTAAGCGGTTGATATTATTCAAAATCACCTGGGGGTTTATCGCTACTATGATATAATGCCTTCTACCACTGACTATAATGTCTATCTGGTAGACTAGTCAATATAGACAATGATTTACACAGTTATTGGTTGTAATCAGTTATTTTTGGTGAAACATATTTAATAGTTTATCCTTTTGAATCCAAGGGACTATTCAAAGATTTTACTATGCATATTTTTATATGATCTTTCAATCTACTGAACATAAAAACATGACATTTTTATGACTTGTTATGTCATTAGTGAACACATGGTTAAGATGACAGAAAATAGCAAAATGCCTTATTACATTTGATATAACATGATATATATATATTGATATCCTGTCAAATTTAAATAAATTCGTAATTTTCGTTGCTTGAATTAGAGCAACTTCCTTTTAGCGATTTTCCCATATACGGAATAAGCTATTACCGTAGGTCTCATGGTAAGAATTGGACCCGGGACCTATTTACTTTTTCATTTTGATGTCCCTAGAAGCCAAAAACACCATCCGTTCAAATTATATATATCTACTATCAAAATCAATATATAAATATATGTCCGTTAGCACGATAACTCGAGCAAAAATGATCCGATTTTGATGAAGTTTGGTACAAACAAACCTACGTTTATTCGAACGAGTTCGCGAACCAGCATGATCGGACCACGGGAACAAGGTTTTATGGGGGAATTTATGGAGTAAAAATTGGTGTTTCTCGTTTTTGACAATAAAAACTAAAGATTTCCCAAATTTTCTCTATACCGTTTTGAAGAGCGCAACAAACAATTGAGTATATTGAAGTGTTTCTGTATGATTATTGGTTACGGAGAAAATTGTGAGTTAAACATTTCCATGTTATTCTTATGGAGAATAAGTAAACTGTAGTAGTCTGCTTGTTTATGAATATATTTGGATCAACCCTGTCAAATCTGTTTGTTTTGTACTAAGCTATTAATATTTTACTAAAAAGAAAAACTTTATTACCCTTCCTGTGGGCAGCAAACCTAGGTACTCGTTAAACCAAATGTTATTTGAATAGATTTAACTGAAAATCAAATCAGGCAAATGGAAATTCGCTTAGTCTGTAGGTTTGCTGCGGCGGGGGTATTTAAATGATTTCCCAGTATTTACAGTAAAGAATCCGAAACAGTTGATATTTTTTCTTGATAGTACAACATTTTCTATAAAAACACAATTAGAAAAAAGTCATAAAATTAATAATAACAAAAATTAAAATTACTCACTAGTATTTCAGTGCGCTGCTGAAAATAAAGTCTATTCATAAACTAAAAATTATGTTAATCACAGAATATCTGAGAAGCTGAGTACAAGCAACGTTCCTGTAGCCTACACCGAATGAGTCTGATTACACTAAGTATCAAGTCTCGCGACACCCTTACAAACCTGATAAGATGCATCTAATCTTTTCCCCAAGAAAACCAGTACCTCAAAGCTATATTTGCCACTTTGAAAGTGTTTTTGTAGAAAACTCTTTACATAAATTAATTAAAACATATTCTGCAAATTAAATTTATATCAGAATGGAAAACAAACAACAGTAATACTAATATTTGAGTATCAAAATACGAACACCCTTGAAAAATACCCCCAAAACAGCCAGTCCATCCATGATCACCACCATCATCCATGATATGATGATGAGATGATCAGGTCATCCATGATAACCTTACCATCTCAAGGCTTGATTAGTTACGCTTGAAATTTCACTATCGGGATTTCGTTTAAATTTTCGTTTAAAAACTTTAAATTCGTTAAACAGTTTCAAATTTGTGTTAAACAGAGCAATATTGTAAAATTTTATTATAATTTTAATATTTAACTTTAGATTGTTTTTAATTAAATACAACTTTCTTCGGCACATCAATGAAATGACCTAATATTAAATCAAACAAATTACAGTTGTTATTTAACGTTTTATATTTTTAAGTTTCAAACACTAGGAAGCCACGAAAGCACACCAAGCCTACGCCATCTTGTACTCTCAGCATGCTCTAGATAGTATTCCGTGTTTTAATCAGCTTAAAAATATCGAACCTTACTTTTGAAAATACCTGTCCAAACTTCTGATAAGAACCTTTCATCCTAACTTTGAAGTGTTTCAATCCTGCACTCGATTCGATCAATCAAGAGCGTCGTAACTTTTTCCTATAATGAAATTAAGGTCAAGTGCTCTCCAGGGAGCACGCAACTCAAGAATAGACAGATTCTGAAAAGAGGAGTTGTGTTATGAATGATGGCGAGCAGAAGTAGATATTTATAGAGTAGGAGTGATAAGTAGTTGTAGCATGCCTCACGACAGCTACTCGCTACTCGCTACTTGCTACTCGGGCCTACTCGCGACTCCTCAGATACCTGTGTTCTAATTTCCGTCTTCGTGTAACACTACATGGTTCTTCACACTAAACAGTTTACGTGTTGGACTAACAATGTTGTCTCAATGTATTATACTGTGATTAAACATAGCCTACTGAGTTGCCGAAGAGAGTTAGTTAGGTTTATTTATCGCGTGCAAAAGTAGAACATGTTTAAGGGTTCAATACAAATTTATACAGTATTATTTAATCACTTGTTCAGATACTAGTCAACATAGTTTAAACGTTATCAGACATAACAAATATCAAAATATGATGAGAAGTCAGTATACAGTATTTTATGTAAAATATATCTCTTTAGTTTCTATGCTTGAATTCTATTTCACTTTTGTGGTATTTTTCTAGTTATTTCAAAACAATTTTATATCGCCACTTATTTGGAAAAAAGATTAAATATTTCGATTATTTGCAAGTATACAAAAATAAATTAGGTTCCCAAAAGGTTTTTCAGCGTGGTTTTCAAACCTAAATGAGAAAGTTCTTGAAAATAATGTAAATACAGTTCGGTATTTGGGATGAGTGGCTATGTAGTTTCGTAATCGAGTTGAAACAATCCTCAGGCTGAAGAAATGTGGCAAGTGATAATCCAATTACTAATATTATCATCGATAAATTAATTTTACAAGTTTTATTTTTATTCTCATCACTTGAGGACACTCTCCTTTTGAACTAATGAATAACTTTTTACCTTTCGCGTTAGGGGTTATTTATATCATACATAATTCAGAGTCGATGTTTACTGTGCAGCTTTGGAAAATCTCTTTTTTGCCGTACCCAAATCCAATTTTAGATTCGTAGAACTGACCCGAACATTAAACTGACCTTGTCAGCGAAATACAATCCACCCGGAGCTGAAACAAACATTGATTGGATTTTGTCAACCAAATCTTAATTTGAATTCGTTTAAAAGAACCTACATATCGAACTGCTATTGCCGCCCGCATCCTAATTTTGGTTTGTGGACTGTATACCATATTATTGTAATCATTAGTTGTACACATTGAAATTTTCTTTCCTCCCTAGATCCTTGTCTCAGGCGACAGTGAATTGTATCTGACATAGGTCTGGGTTCTGCTCCTCAGATCTGGGTCGTCATGATTTATTGCTGAAGTCATGCATCAACGAATCAATATCAGATATCCTCCGGGCTTGGGAACCCAGCTAATTTGTTGTTCTATTGAATTGTTGTTGCAGACAAAAACGGCTTTATGCCAAGAAAATGTGGAGGCTATTGAACTGTATCAAGCTGACATTTTATGAGAAGATCATAAAACATAAAACCAATCGTAATATTATATGTGTTCAATGTATCTTAAAGATAGTTTTCTAACTTTTTGCAAGTAAAATATAGTAAAAAATTAAGTGTTTTAATATATATATATATTGCTTATTTTTATTCGATTTCTAACTGAAATAAAAAATTGCTATCCTTCACCATTATGCACTTTAAAAAACTGTATGTTGCCTTAAAGTTGGGTATTTTGTAGGGTTTGTATTTGACAATATTTGAGTTGCCATCATTTTGAGATGGTTTGAAAAAGTGTGATGCTTAATCGAAATAATTTAAATATTTTATGGTATAGATTCACTTGAAATCTCAACACACATTTTTAAAACATCGAAGGGTAGACAATTTAAATGGATGATATTTTTTGTTCTGAACGTGTTTTACGGTCATAATGAACAATTTAGGTGAATGTTGTCTTTTCTGGTTAGGATATAGACATATCGTTTTCACAGTTTATAAAAAAAAAATAAACTAAGTATAACGCAAATAAAATAAATAAACTTAAAGTTTCACTTAGTGTAGGTATTATTATAAAAAAACGGGATCGTAGTTAAGGATCCTATTTTGGGAAATCAACAACTGAGATTCAATTTCACTCAAATTATTTTTGTTGTTGTTAAAAAATGTATTTTAAACTTGCTTTACCTAAAACGGTTCTTAAAAAAAAAACTTACGGATTTTGCTTTGGTAGGCAAAGATCCTGTCTTGACGTAACTATCTATACATTATTTAGGAAGTATATCTTACTCATATGGCTTTCAATCCAAGCGTGTTTACGAACACTAGCGGAATGAGTTACAGGTACAAAGTCAATCCGTTCTACTTTCTTTGTCAAATAAAGAAGGATAAAGGCATTAATAAGCGTCAGCTTATCGATCCGAGCCTGGAAAAGTATTCACACTTTATCTTCTCTTTCAGGAGGGGTCGATGCGACAAGGTCGGCGGACGAGGGACAATTGACGACATGTCGGGGAAGCGGCGAGCCGGGGGGCCGGTGCGACAGTTGAGTCTGCAGCAGTCGGCGAGGCGACATCCGCGGAGCAAGGAAGACAACCAGGGGCGGCTGCGACGTCAGGTGTCCGAGGACCACGGTCTGCGAGTGTTGGCGAGCCACATCGTCACTCCAGGAGAGTGCGACGGTAGACCACGGAGAGACCCACAGCCCGCCGTCGTGCGACCCAGACCTGTCCGCCTAGCCTGGGCCGAGAGGAGACAAGTGACACTAGACTCAGAGCCTCCAGTGGGAGTCGTAGTGCAGAGATGCAAGGGACTCCCTCGTCCAGTCACCGCCAAGCCAGCGAGGACCACCACGGCGCCAGACTCTATACTGTACTCGAGGCAGGAGCTCGCCGAGAGACTCCGGCTGGCGTGGAAAGATAGACAGGAAAGACCGAACCTCGACATCTTCCTGGCTCACAACAGCATCGACAAGTCCGACCCAGAAGAAGCAATTATAAGTGTAAGAGAAATACAGACTGAAGTGGAAAAAAATAAGTTTTTATCTACAGAGGATTTAGCAAAATCTAGTAAATTTACTCCTTTTTCTGAGGTTTCTAAAATTTCCACGCAAAAACCTTCCGAGGCATTCGTTAATAGTTCTTTTAAACGAAGAAATGACAATGACTTTCCCCGATTTGAAATATCCTCTGTTCAAACTTTTCCTACAACCACGTTCCCCTTGGCGTCGTACAAAGAATCGAGTGATAGTGAAAAAGAGGCTCCTTCGACACAAATCGGATTAAAAATAGAGAACACTAGAAAATTGACACCTTCGATTACGATATCATTCGACCATGGTTTGGATTCTGACGATCAACGAATAGGGACTGAAAACGACGAAGACTTATCATCATCCGTAGAAAAACCGGATGACAATTTTTTGAAACCTGACAGCTACTCACAAGTTGAATCCCCCAAAAAAGATTGCTCTGAAAATATCGAAGTAGAAGTCAAAAATGAAAAATTAAAAGAAAGTGATAAATCGAGGAAAGATAACTTAACCGCAACGATGAGAAGAGCAAACTTTAAAAACATGAGTAACAACCCGGCGATGGCAGCAACGATCAGTTCTGCAACTCCTCCTGCCACTCCTATTTCAGCGCCAGCAAAACCCATCCTGAAGAAGCCCGTTGGACAGCCTCTGCAACGGATGATGTCTGCACCTGCAGGGGGAAGAAATCCAACAATTAAAAAAGATCCGTCGATTTCGAGACTGGAACCGAGGAACGACTGTATAGACCCTGAGTTCGACGAAGACGACATGACCATCGTCCAGAGAGAGACCAGGGTAAAATCTGCGCCTGCAAGAAGAAGATTCAAGAGTGGCAGAAGAAAAGGGCCGAAAGGCCACGAAGATGACAGCTCTGAAGACGAGTTTGCGTTCCAAGAAGAAGTTCCTGCAGTCACCAAGCCACGAAATCGTAAGAGGTTTGTGGAGAAAGCTGCAGAAATCATAACGATGGTCTCTCTTTTGAGTCCCAACGAGAGTGAAGTTGAAGACTTGCCAGAGCCGGTGATCCAGCTGCCACCAGACACTTCCGCTTGGTCAACCACGAGGACCGTATCACAAGAGGCGAAGACTGAGGCAGAGGTCAAGGTCAGCCCTGCCACTCCAACTCCTATCAACATTATGTGTTTACGCAACAAGTTCCCAACAAAAACAGGTAAGCCACTATCAAGTGTACTTCTTAGTGATGGTAAATTGGTTGTTCACTTTAACCTTCGACTATGTATAGAACTAGATATTCTATTTCCATGTTAAGGTTTAGCCAGATTTAACATGAATAATCAAGTTCAATAGTCACCGAGAGTGTTTTAACCGAAAGTTTGCTGATGTAAATTACTGTGTTTCTCCGTGTACTCCAAGCCAGACAGAAAGCGTATTACAAACCATTGAATATTTTTATGTCATATCAACTATCACAATAAAAAATGAGAAAACTTTTTTTAGACTGTATCTCAATTTGTGTGTAGCTCATTCAACTTGAAAAAATCACCACTCTTTTCCCATGTAGAGAGAGATGTTTACTGTAGTCCCCAAAAGCCAATGTTTTAACTTAGACAATACTGTGAAATAAATTTTAACGTCAACAAGTTAGGTTGATAATTCAAATCGACGGATTAAAATATATACTTGGTATATGAATTTTAAAAAGCATATAAATATTGCATTCTTTTACACCAAGGTTGAAAAGGCTTTGTTTCTTTTGGAACCGTAGTACAGGATAGCTTGTGCGTTGTGCGTTGTACTCAGCTACCGGTAGTCGGTACAACGTGGCGTTATAGGGGAGTAACCCAAGTATAACCCCTCCGTGGGAACACAGGCAATTACGTCAGTTAGTGGTTGGTGGAGGAGAGGAAAACGCGTGGCAGATAATTACAACTTACCTACAGCAGTTTCCTCTTACCCTCTTTCCTCGATAGACCGCTTCCATGCGATCGCTTCCCGGAAATTGAAACATTGTCGTTCGCGTTATAAAACTATCACCTCAAAACTCTCCACCTTTTATACAGACTCACAACTGACAAATCGTGCACGAACTCACACGCTCCTCAGTCAGATTCAACATGGGAAAATTACCCTATTGCTGAAAACCTACATATAAATCTTCCAGTAACTTAATTGCATTTTAATTTTAAATGGCCAAAACCACCAATTTAATCATTTTGTGTTGTGTCACATAAATAATCCTTAATTAGTCCTTTCTGCCACGAAAAACATACAAACACGTGGTACTTAGTTTTGGTTGGCTTACTATGTAATGGCAAAATTGGATAGTCTTATGGGCATTATATTATTCTTAAAAATGTTGGTCTACATAAAATTTTTTGACATCGCACTCAATCCTGATTTGGCATCCTATATTATTAATTGTAACTTAAAATACGGAATTAATTAATTGTGTTGTAAAATTAGTGTATGCTTTAAAACCAAAATACAAATAACATATGGGTTCTTTTGTTTGTTACACCATAAGGTTATAACTTTTTATGAACTGGCTACTTTTTATTTAATTTTAATTTGTCTAAAAGGTTAAGTTAGGGGGAAAACATCACAACAAACCACCACCCCTAAACACTAAGCTTATGGTATTGTGTTAGCTATCAAACTAATTAAAATTAATGTTGCCTGATTGGTTAGTTATTTATTGAGTTGTTATTCCTCCTTTAAACCTAAACCTAATGTACTGTACACGCATACCCAATTTAGGAATATATGAGATTTATGACACTGAGCTTTAGATGTTTTTCATATCTTTTAAAAATACGAATATGTTTCAAACCATGAATTATTTATTTATTTTTCCCAGATTCAGGAATCATTTATTGTAAACAGTCCATGCTTACTTGCATTTATATATATTTCCCCTCACAGGGAATCGCTAAATAAAGAAAAAACTCTTTGTGAAATTCGAAACCAATAATATACACGAGATAATAAAATCTACATCAATGAACGTCTAGATCAGCATACATGAAACTAGGCGTCGGCAGGCAATCGAGCTACGCAGAAGCTGTGCGGGACTTGCATAACCTTTCATATAAAAGTCTTTGGTGAGCCATGTAGACCATAGTTTATCAATGTTTCCGTTTTAATTTGGTAAAATCGTATTGATATAAATCATCTCTGATATTCTTTTATATTTTTATCAATAATCATTACGAGACGTTGTAAAATAGTATACTTGGAAAGTGAGGTATCGTTGTCTCTTGATCGAGTCCGAAACGTTCTCAAGAACTAGAAAAGTTGATAAATGTTATCCCACTTTTCCCCAAGACGAAAACGCCCATTTTACTTCACATTAAAAACAATGCAAGGCCATCTTCCCAGATGATAAACCCATCTTTTGCCAGAAAAAGTTAACTAACACAATTGTTGCTAAGACACGTCAACAATAATGCTTCAGCGTTGACCTCTGTTGAGAAAACAATTACCTGCAATTACTACTAATTTTATGTAAAATCCCTATCTTTCTAAGACTTGTTTGAAAAAGTACGTAAAAATTTAGAAATATTAAGGGAAAATATTTATTTACTAAAATAATGAATTGAGCATTAAAAGTATTTCAAAATGAAAATAATTTCTTCTCTTAAAGATTGTACTTTGCGGTGAAACCTAATTTGAGGCTTTGTAACACGAGCTCAGTACTTCGTACATTGTACCAACGGGGAGCTGAGGTTAGCAAATTAGTAGAGATCAAAATTCACTTTGAGGCCGTGGAATGTACTATATTCACAGCATGCCGCACAAAATGTTTACACATCAACGACTTTGCCTAACAATAATTACTTACTGTTTATTTCCAAAATGGCTTTTACCGTCACTGCTGTTTTGAACAATCAGCTATATAATGAGTACCTATATACTTAAGCTACATTTGTATTTAATACTGGTAAAATTATGGTCAATAATATTTCAAGTTGAATAATAAACATAAAAATGACTCATATTAAACAATAATTGCCGTATTAGGATAAGTTGTTTTAATTTATAATATTTTTAAACCCAAAAGTTAATACAATTCTGCTTGGTTGATTGCAGTAAGCTTCCAGCAAGGGACGCCTCCTAACCGCAGCTATACAGCCAGCTACCCGTCTAGACGAGGTGTCGGGACGTCGCTGATACTGCCGCCCCCGGACACTACTCCGCCGCCTCCAGTTGCAGCGCCGCCCCCAGCAGCACCACCGCCTCTCGCCCGCCGCCGCCTCACCAAGGCTAGGAGCACTGGCAACATAGGGTTGGTACCTAGGATACAGACTGACGGTGTGATCGTGCGTATTGCAAGCTTAAGTAGGTTACAAACTCTGGCTACCAACTTGGCAGCCATAATTTGCTTTGAATATAGCAGCAACAAAGATACCTAAGTATCTTGGACCTATCTAGGGACCAATCTGATTCCAGCACGCACAATTCACAGTGACGCAAACCTTTGTACTTATTAAGCTGACCAAGAATGAAGGGTGAACGTAGAATGTGCTTACGCTGGTTAGAAAACTCTGATAAAAACATAGACTGTTGAATGTTTCAGATATTTAAAGTAGTATATTTACTTTTGGTGGATAGGTTGGAAAATAGTTATTTGTGTTAATATTACGGTTTGTAGCACTTTTCAAATTTCAAGAGATGCAACAAAGATTCATTGTACACGAATATAGTTACTGTTTTCTAAAATTATTCTCAAACGCACTGATAAATTTCTGATTGTTTTTATATTCTTTTTACTTGTTTTCTTAAAAAGGAATAAAATAATCATAATATATATTTTTGTTTTATTTGTCTGGTAGTAAGTTTAAGGAAACATTCATGGATGTATACATTTCTTCCTGATTTTAATTTAATTTTCATTTATTTCAATGGTTTTAAAAATGTAAGGCGATAAGATCTCCCTTCCTTTTTTTTAAATGTAATTTCGTTTGAAACAAGAATTTAATTTGGCTACTAAAATGTCTTTTAACTGCATTGTGCTGTATTAATGCACTTATAAATAAAAGTTTGAAAGTTATAGTTAAAAAGTCAAATTGCCAGTAAAAGAGATGCAAAACGTTTTTACAAGAGAATAACATTTTTGACTTGCTTCGATTTCAAAGTAATTTCCCACTTTAATTAGAGTAGCCAAAGTTTTCTTAATTACTATCGTGACTAGAGAACATAATTGCTTTTATTTAACATTCAATTGTCATTGACTTTCTTTTCTCTTCACTTAAGAGTTTCATTATACTTCTTGAACAAACTAAATGAACTCTAATTCCTAGTATCAAAAACCTTATAGCTATGACAATACCAACTCTACCAAAACATATATTGATGGTCGAATAAGTTTAAAATGTCTAAATATAAATCCTTATTTTAAAGCAAGCAGATTGCACTTATCAATTTTTTATAGTAATATTTTATACAGTGTGTTTGTTTTTTTTTTCCAACTTGGTTCTTTATTTATGTAAAAACTGCAATAACTAGAAATATGCAGTTTGCAGGAATCATCTATTGACTTAGAGGCCACAATTTTTGTGATTTCAACGTTAAGTTCCCATTCACCCTCTTCCCCCTACATTTAATTTAAATTTGTAAATATAATAAATATAATATCAAATGAAAGGGCATGGAAAAAGAAAAAAAAAAGGATGGTGCAAATTAGAGGTCCCTAAGTCAATCCTATTAAAAGGTATGTCAGTTAAAAATTTTTATTTACCTCCTTTAAAAAAAAAAACGCGTTTCTTTAAACGGCTATAGGAAGAACTAGCAAAGATTTGAAAGAGTTTTCATGGTCAGGAATTACATTTTCTACAAACATCGTTGGGCGTTTTCCGAAAATCGCCCTCCTTCATCTTAAAAAAAAAACGACCTACTTTTAAAATTTGTAAAATTTCTGTGATTTTGACTTGTTTGTAATTTAACAACCATGCCAGCTAGAACAACCATACCTTTGTAAAGTGCTGTTCAAAAAAGTGTTGGTAATATAAAAAAAAACTTGTGAAACGAACTGCAATAAAAAAATACCAAATTTAGTGGGAAATGACTTAATCAATATAACAAGAAAAAAATACACGACTAGTAAAATCCTAGCCATAAAGACCCTTTGGGTGGAATAGTTAAACCACACCAAATATGGAAGTTCAAGAGGACGGAAACAAGAAATCCTGTTGGTGCAGAGAACTTAACTCAATTCAGGAAGTGTTTGTCGGGACAGCTCGTAATGCTGTTCCTTTGAAGAACAGTCAACTGCAAAATATCACCCTCTAAGGTATATCATTATAGTTTCTTGTGTTAAAATACTGTACTTACTTTAGTATTTTTTTCGGCCAAACATAACGATATACTAATAAACTAGCGTTTATTCTCTTAATAAACCATTCATAGAGACCCCTCAGTAATACGATTTTGTCGTCAATACCGGACGTCATCCGGAAATGATACACATCAAAACCGCTTCAAAAGTTTGACAGAATGAGAAGTCCTTCTGCAGTATCTCAATATATTGGTTCTAATTAGAAAGTAAATAGGCTACTGAATTTTTGTTCAAAGATATTTGATGTTTTTCCTATTCTGACAACAACCCTGGGGTGTGTTGTTAGCCTAGTGGTTAGCATCTCGGACTTCGGTGCGGGAGGGACAGGTTCAATCCCCGGCACATCCACAAAACTTTAATGGGTTTGCACCGCTTTCCCTTAAAAGTGTTTGACTTCATTACAAAACTGCCACTGGCATAGATACGAGCAAAAAAAAACCTGCAACATATTTAGTTTGTATTTAGTAAAAGTAGTTACTTGAAGTGTTATGAATTAGAATGAACTAATTAGGTAGACGATCTGTGTTATCATCTAGGTTAATGGAAAACGTGCCACCGGCTTAGCTAGTCTGTTAAAACATGTCCTGAAAATGAATAATTAAAAATCAGCTGTCAAGGAGCTTGTGACTGACTGGTGTTTGCCCTACTCACAGCAGTAGGGGTGGTAAAGTAGGCCAGCCTAGCGTGGGTGCGTGTTACGTTCCGGGTTTTGTGGATCCTTCACATTCTGACGAGCTCGCTGAAATTGCAAGCCTACTGATATTGTATTCCTTCCTCAACAAAAACTGCGAGTAACGCATACTATTATTATTTGTCAAAATATTTACATTACAAATGGCTTTGTGCTATCATAAGTGGTAAACTGTCTTAGTTAGAAAATCAAATCATGTAATGGCAAACACTAAGATATATTGTGAATAATTAATAATTATTTAGTGTACATGTTGCTTGAATTCGAGCAATTGTAAAGTATTACAGGAGTTATTTCAAAACGAATAACAGTCATATTTACAATGAGTTTAAAAGAGTCAACTCAAAGATTACCGGTGTGTAACTCAGACCACGTTTTTTTCGTTAATGATAAACCTAAAGCATTCCGGCCGGTTTTCTTCTTCTCAAAATACCTCGCTGTACAGGCAACACAGGTTATTGATAGAGGGCTAATTGAGAACGAAAAGTCGTTTTGGGGTGGTGTAAGGGCGCATTTTGTAACCTAATAGTTGAGATAGTCCAGGGTCAAGTGCTGACTGTGATGAGTTAAGCATATTACTGGCCACTGTTCTGTAGCTGCGTTCGTTATCACGACCACGCCTCCTGTGTATGTTTCGTTGTCATCGCTTTGGAGGCATTTAAAAGAAGGAAAAAACAACAAATAAATAAATTATAGCTACAAAAAACAACGATAAATGCACACATTTAAGTTACAATCATAGTAACATCCATCATAGCGACACAAAATAACGATAAATACACAAATTTAAGATACAACCATACTCACACGATCCGTCTTGGGGGTTATGTTTACACAAACTCAAATAGTAAATAAATGTACTCAATGCGTTTCATTGAATTGAAAAATAAATAACAGCAATTAAATTATACATCTGATCAAAATGTAAACAATTATGTTCTTCACAAGGATAACATGGGAACTTTCAAAGCCACTGGGGACGAGCCCAAGGGACTTTTTCAAAAATGTAAGGCCAGTTTGCAAATCTACGTGACATGCTCTTTCCAATGAGACGTCAATGGATAAAATCTGTTAAGAAATAGCGGAGGAGTTCAACCGACAAAGTTTCATGTAGCGTATTAATTATTTAGATAATTAATAATCTCGTACCCTAAAGGTGGTTTACTTTTACACCAATATCTTTAATGTTTACGAGAAAATCCTTTTCCCTATTAGTAAAAAAAACTTTTAAAAAATCTTCTTGACTCTTAAATAAAAACGGAAAATAACGTTCAGACAAAAACCCCCATCTTCTCAGACAACAATCCCCATCTTCACGAACTCGTAAAAGAAAAAAGCCACCGTAAACCATACCTTTGCACTAAGGATAACAAGAACTGTAAATGGGGCCGTTTTTCACAGCGACAATGCACCATTTCGTGCCGGAGCGCATAACCCGTGCACCGTAGACAAAGGAAACATGTAAGTCGATCGGAAAAGAAAAGAGGGCAAGTGAAAATATAGAGTTGACCCGGCGGGGCGTCCCTGGCCCCCTGGTCCACATTTTGGGTCGCCGACCCTCCCTTCATTGCGATTGATAGTTTTGTTCGACCGTCACGCCACTGTGGCACTGTATCTGTTAGTCGTCAGTCTAGCAGTAGACAATAGACATGCCTCCGCTCAACTACCACGGATTTTTGCCCAGGTAACATGATTTGCGTTAATTTATATGAGTCAGAAGCGTTGATGATATTTTTCAAATATTGTTTAAACAATAAAAGAGATGTAGTAAAAACAAATTCATTAGTCACAAAGTTAGATTTTAATAAATTAATTTTATTTTATTATGCTATCCGCACAAATAGTCAAATCATTTTAACATAGTAAATTTACATTGGACTTTTGACATAAAAAATTAAAATAACTACTGTAGGAATAAAATTAGACCCATTTATCATTACAAATTTAATTATAGGCTATTTAAATTGACAATATACTTTTGTACTTTGTGGCAAAACTATAGTTATAATCTAGATCTGAAACTTTCAGAACATAACTAATTAATACACTAATCTTTTTGTGTCGTAAACTTTTTTTTGAGTCATCCATTGCAACTTTCCACTTAATATAAAAAAATAAAAACCTATTTTGTATGTTTATTTTTATTTTTATGCGAAATAAAAAATACACAGTTAAAAATATAATATTATCATTATTAACTATTAGGAATCATACCTTATCAAGCGCGAATATTCTTTTGGGTTCAAACATTTAAAAGAACACTCGAACAATAAACAGAACGGCCTCAAAATATTGAGGAAAGTATAAATTCATTTATTCGTTAACAAGGTAAATTTTAATCACTCAACGGTCTTATCACACGGTAATGCATAGAGATAATGAGGCATATCTTGTGTTATGTATATGAATGTTTATATGTTTAATTTGTAAAAAAAAAACTATCGTAGACTCGAATGACATAATTTTTTTATAACAAATTTAATTTTTTATATCGTAAGTAGTTTTTAGCTATTTTTAGAAAATTACTAATTTTTAAAACGTTATTTACTAAATGTAATTAAATCAAAACATACTTCAATAAGATTAGTTAAATGAAACGAAACAATTTATTTTACAAACTGTTAATAAATTTTTTTTGCATTAGAAATATGGAAACAGTTTATAATATTCATACAAAATAAATAAAAAAGTTATTCCGCTTAATAAGTTTGATTACTTTTATAAATAGTTATCAAAAAATCTCTTATTATTATGAACTTATAATTTGCTAATCATTATTTATTGTAATTACTGTATGTTACTACAATAAGATATACATAAATACATCAATACATTAGCTGACCCACCCCATGCTTTGTAGACGCATACTGCATGTACTATAAGACAAGTCACAAAGTGTAAATACTTTAATCTCAATGTCTGAATTCTGTTAATATGCCTTAGATTTTTTATGAAGCTGCATTAATTACTTCGAACAGATAAAATAAGGGCTTTACTTAATAATTTGATTACTATCAAACACAGACATACACCTTTAAGTCATTTGAATGACTCAAAACCCATAAAATTAGTTAAAAACATGACAACGAGATATATTCTTCGTTTATCACCAGAAGAATTGAATTAAATTTAGATTTTTAATCGAATGACATCCATTAGGGCTACAATGTTTAAATAAAGTTTTGTTAAAAGTAAACGTACATGATATAAAGAAGGCATTGATGACATGATGAGACCACGTCATTGCTCATCATGTTTCAATACATTCCGTGGAGACTTGCATGCTTTGCATTACCGGATCTATTTGTCTAGTAATAGGGAAACAGTTTAACTGGCGAATGGGGAGACGTTGTCAGTAGAGAGTATATGAGTATTGACATTGCTGTAACCGATGACATATGCGGGGTTTGATTTTGTGATTTTAGAACGTCAAATCAAACATGAAATAAGCTTACTAAAGCTTGTTGAACTGACATTTCTTGAAAGGGTTGGATTTGGTTTAAGTCAATGGTTCGCGAAGGAATAATTGGGACGTAATTTGTTTGTTTTTAATATTGTAATAGCACTAGCAATAAATTTAGCTATTTCTGTTCTTGTAGAGCAAATATTTCTTGTACGGGTTGGATTGGTTTTAGTCAATGGTTTGCGATGAAATGATTGGGATGTAATTGGTTTGTTTTAACTATTTAAATAATAATAATAGCAATAATTTTAGCCGTATCAAAAACAATAATTGACGAATTTATTACTCACAAGGTTACATAGTTAAATAGTAATTTCAGTAATCGAGATTGCAGTAATAGTAGGTTATGACTAAAAAAAAGTTCTTTACTTTTTGACAAAGTAAAGTGAGCAAAAAAAAAAAAAAACATTGCATTGATGCACGATTTTAACGAGCACTACATTCAGTTAACTTGTAAATTTCCATGGGAAAATATTACAATTTTAGTCTATATAGGTATCCAAAACTTAGTAGATATTTGTTTTAAAATTGACAAAAAATCCATTCAGATTAATGTATGAATTTTACACAAGCTATATTTACATTCTGGAGTCGTAACTGTAACATAGGTAAATAAGTTACTACTGTTCTTTTTCATGACCAAGTATTTAATTTTTATTTTGAGCGTTTTCCATATAAGTTGGTTTTATGTTTAAAGGGAATGGTCCAAACCGTGGTCTTCTTACTATCTAGAATAAAAATATCCATTAAATAAGTTAAATAACGTAAATACTTTTAATACGTTAAACATAACTAAGGATATTGATGTACGTTTTCGTCATATAAATATTTATAGATTTGGCTCAGCTAATGATGGTGAAGTAAAGGCTTGCAGTCCCGTCGATATAATATTCATCAGTTTTTGCGTCTGTAAAATTGTAAATCTGTGTATGCCGTAGGCGAACAAATAAACATACCGGTACCTTCTAATCTAAAACTTTATCAGTCCACTACGTACTTTCACGTTCCACTCACAGGCTTAAATGCCAAATACATTCAAGGTCGACCCATTTTTTTACCAAAAGACATTCGTTTGAACCAAATATATGGTTTTTGAGCAATTAAGAATTATTTAATACAAAGATTTTTAACTTTGAAATTTTTCACAGTCAGGAGAACAGCATCGACGCCGAGTCCATACCCGAGATAGAAGAATCGTCTGTAGCGGAGGCTGAGCCACCCTCGTTACTACCAGCTGTCTCCCCCCCGTCGCAGCAGCCTGCACCTCCTGAGTCTCGACCCATCACGGCCCCGACACCCCTAGACCCAGCGGAGGACCCGGACTGCGAACCATCTTTCAAGACCGCCAAGGAGAAAGAGTGCTGGCAGATGTTCCGCAAGATGGCGGACAAAGGAGTATCAATATCGTACGACACGGTGCTCAGGTACATAGATATTTAGACTTATAAGTACTTGGGCACATCATCTTGAGATGTGGAAAACATTTGCAGTTTGAATAAGGAATGTGAAGTAAGTAGAATAAAAGTAATATGTTCGTCATAATGTCTGGTATCTCATGTTTGACTCAATACACTATAAAGTTGAATATGTTTGGAAAGAGAGTCGGCTGATTTGGTAGTCAGAGTGCTTTACTGACTAATTCAACAGCCTAGGTCAAAATTCAACACCCAAAAGTACACTGTCAAATCTAAACTATTTCTACAAAACCAGAATAAATATATTTTTCAAAACAGTAACATTAAATTAGTGGCGTAACGGAACATAATAGATTAAAAATATAGGTGCTTGTATAAAAGAATTCTTTGACATAAACTCAATTCAGTTATTTGTTAATAAATAAAGGGTGAATCAATTCTTTTAGGTAGTTTCAGATAAGAGATAAAACAAAATAGCTAAAGTACACATATTTAACTGAAAATCCTTCTTAATTTAATTAATTTAACAACGTTTCAGAGGTATGCTGACGCCCACAGAGTATCGACTACACAAGAAATCAATGTCTTCCACGTGCTGAAATGAGTAGAAGTCTGTGTCTGGAGCTGACAATGGAGGAGGGGGTGTAACAACACGTTAACACCCGGTAACAATCAACAACACGATAGTCATACCTATAACTTACTATGCATACCATGAAAAATGCAGCAGTTAAACTAACACGATGTGTAAACCAAGAACATATTACCAACACGATATGCATACCAACAACACGACAAACATACAGACCACACAGCATACTGAAAAAACGTGTAATTAATATCAATAATAAAGGTTTAATATCACGATGTATACGAACAACACTACATGTCAAAGTACAACAGGAAATGCATCCCAACAACACGACATGCATATCAACATGCAACATCAAAACATTCTTATATGGTCAAAATGATTCATCAACTACATATTTTAGGCCGGGAGAAATGTACTGAGATACTGTAATTATGTTTAAGGAAGTAAAATATCGTTCTATAAGTCTTGGGAAAAAGAGAAAATACTTTTGTAGTTGTAGAAAGACAATTATTTATTTAAAAGGTTATTTGAATGAGGTTAATTGACTCATTAATGTAAAAGGGAGGTCAGTAGTTGTGAAAAACTATTTTTAAAATGTATCGTGAATAATTTTACCTTTTTGATTACATGTCTAATTATAATTATTCATGAAAGTGAAAGATAAAGAATACATTTTTTACTCAATGGTTATCTTTTGTGTATTTTCTTAACCAAGCAAACTCGTGATGGTAAAATATAATTTAGTTGGATTCGATCCTAACAAAAGAAACAATTAACTTAACACAACAACACAACAACAACCCAACACAAGTTAACAACTTAATTAATTTTTACAACTTAATTTTTCCACAAAGTGGATTCAAGGCTGATTGTGCGAACAGGTTCTGAGAGATGAATAATATGCAATTTTATGGTGACATTAATAGATGCATCAAAAATGTGGCTGTTCAGTAAAAAAAACTTTTAATGTTAGTTTGCAATCGTTTTAAGTAAGTATTGTTTTGCAAAAGCACATTTAGTTATGTATTTGTAACATTTTACATAATGAAAACATATTTTAAAGTAGATGATCTATTGGGCCAAAAGCTAAACAAACCATAATATAGGGTAATATTATGGTAATATCATAACAAACCTAATAAAGGGTTGTTCAAAAGAGGAAAAGCGTATTCTATAATTTTTATGTTTATAAATTTGAAACACTGAAAATGTTATTAATTCAAAACGAATTTCTGCTAGAACCTGCAGATGCCTTGGTAAAGGCCATGTATTTGTAAACTGAAAAAATCACTATTAAATTATTAAGGTTTTATTATGTATTAAAAACTCTAAAGCATTAAGTATGTTTCTGTTATATTATCTGATCTTTTATATATTAAAAATGACTGTGAAACCACTGAGAAGTGAAAGCATGCTATTTTAAAATGCATATTTTACGGATAGTCATTTATTGGTAGATCAATTCTCTGACTCCAATATTCAACGATTAAACCCTCTAGAGATTTTTAATCAATAATGTTCAATGATATTTTTGTTTGGTGTTGGTATCGAGGATGATGCGTTTTGTCAAAGCTGTTATTTAATATACTAATATACTTTCTAAGACTGCAGTCTTGTATCTTATATTTTATCTAATAGCCCTTATTCATACAGAACAATGAAAATGTAACAAGTAAATAACTGTAAACTAAATATAGTAATATTGTATAGACCTATGTATAACCAGACTTGTGTACATACTTGCAACTAAATAGTACACAAGTATTAAGTATTTGTACTGACGCTTAAGAAACTAAGCACAACTTAACATAGAGCCTATGAATGTTAGTTTTACGGATTTTAGAGATATATTTGACGTTAAAAATGAAATAAATATGTGTAACACAAATATAATTGTATTTTTAGAAACTAAATGAATGTTATTATGGATTGTTATACAAACATCACACATTATTTTATTGTTTGTAAAAAGATTAAATAAACTTGTGATAAAATTTTAACTTAAAACTTCTTTTCCCTAGTTGAAAGCTAGCTAGTAAGCTATGAATTTTAACTGTGATACTTCGTCTTTCTTTGACATCTTATAGATCGTATATATTTTGAAATGAGAAAAAAACATGTGGTATAATGTGGCTTGTAGTCAAGTAAGAATACAGTTTACTTTGAGCCAAATACATTAAAGACACGTTTTTAATAAAACCAATTAAAAATTTTTCTTAGTTACAAAAAAAAGTTCGAATTTTTTAGTTTATTTAAACAACCAAAATAAGTGCATCAAACATAATTTTAGGCTGTCAAGATAGAGATACGATCACGGTACCCCAACCTGTTCGTATTTCAAGATATTCAAACGCCAAAAACAATAAAGGTGTATATTTTGCAACAAGGGCCGTAAGTGAGGTTTTTAACGCATTCGACATATTGCTTTATGCTTCAAACATTAATAAAGATTTCTCTACAAGATGGGTTTGTGGTGTAGTGTTCATACCCTTTTTTTAAATAAGAAAATCATAAAGTAATTCAATATAAGAAAGGAGGATAAGCAATTTTATTTACAGCTTAAGAACAACTACATCACTAAAAAGAACAACAATGATGAAGAAAAAATAGTTTTGAGTTTAGAACTAAAACTCAATATTATAGACACTTTAAGGTCACTACAGTTTAGTTACTGTTTAAAATTTCATTAGAAGACAAATCTTTGAATATGAAACTTTAGCAAAAATAATATCTGAAACTTTAAGTTCTTTTAAAAATCATTTTAAAATAAACGATTGCAAACATAATGATATGATATACTTACTCTGAACTTTAAACTATACCACAGAGAAAAATTTAAAACTTAAAGCAAAAAAAAAAGATTTTTATGGTATTTAGACTCCTAGAGAAGTCGCAGTATTTTTTATTTTTACTTTTCAATAATCATGTTGATTAGTATATGAAGATGGCAAAAATCTGTCTTTCGGTATGACATGATTGAATGAAATGTTGGCATTTGTTTAGGTAGTGTCTACAAATTACCACTAAACTAACTTCGCACTATAATGATGGTTGTTGAATCGCTCTTTTAGTCTAGACACTTGAACTGTATAGTTACACCAACCTACTTTTACAGTATTAGGTAACAATATTCAACAACTAGACTTAACCATTGTGTATATATTGTAAACAAAGTAATATAGGCCTACTTTGAGTTTGAATATGTTCTACCAATTTCACAATTATTACGACTTAAATAGTCAGTTCTGTACAAGATCTCTATTCTGTTAGTTCCACGTTGTGCCACACAAGGATTGGAGGCGGTAGCAGCTATTGACATGTGATCTATATTACCTTCATTTATCTAATCTGTAGTTACTTGATGGAAATCATAAAATACTTTCTATATCAATATTTGTAACTTATTTTATGTTATGAAAATTAATTGTTATGAAATACAAACTACTGAACCTACAACCGTACAACCTAATAGAATATTTGAATAAGAAAAATGTCCTTAAACATGATAAGAATATACTTTATAAAAGCTATAATGAAAATAAACGAGTGACGTTTTTATGATTGACAACGAAAAAATATAGCTAACAATTTTACACACAAAAACAAGCTGCAACAACATAAAACATGCTACTATATTTTTTCAGTCCCATTGTGCATATTTATGGCAACTTTCTAAAAGCATTGAATTCAACATTACGATTATTTATGGTTATGTCTATAGTATCTTCACAGTGCAAAAACCTTGAACCACAGTTTCCATATAACTTATATCATAATCATGAATTTTTTCACTCTTAAAATCATTGTCAGAGTCCTATACGTCCTGCTTGATAAATAAAATGTCACCATTAACCTTTTATTGTAATTCTTTATCCCGGAAATATATGTCAGCAGTAAATCAAGTTTCTGGCCAACAGACTTGTCGCTGGAGCTATTGTTAACACAATGATTAATGGAGTTTAGTCTGGTTTCATGGTTTACTTTTTAAATGGCCTTAAACTAAAACCTTGAATATTTAAAAATAAATTAATTAAATAAAAAGTGTTTTTTTCGCAAATGTTAAAGTGTTAACAGTGTATTATCCATATCATCCAACACTGCATGTGATCCAGCAAAAAAAATCACCAATTTAAGGGAGGGGGGATTTACGCAATAGCGTAAATGCATAAAGGTAGCATGTTACATAACCTAGTTTCTCTGCATATCAGCTATCAAATACTTCACTGACTATTTTAACTATAGATTATACAAAGAAAAACTAAACGGATGTGTAACTTTACTAGTATTTTCTGATAGAATTCTCTCAAGTCGCAGTTTTGAAAGATTCTGGCACATTACAGAAGCAAAGGGAGGAAATAACTAAGTTAACAAAGAAAAATAGAGGTAAAAATAGTTTGGTTGAAAAAAGAATTTTGAATTAACTTCTCAATTTTTGTAGTTCAAAGTTTACCTCGTTCTAGGAATTGAGTAGTCAATCTGCTATTTTTAGCTTTAGTAATGAGTAACTAACCAATATAATAACACGATATTCCATAACGCAATAACCATTATGGTTATTATATTATTTAGTTTTACCGATCTGTATGGAATGATTAGCTTAGTCAATTAATAATAATTGTCAAAAACTTAAAAGGTGTATATTTAAAGCTTAACTAGTAGACATTGAAGAATACAATTAGCTTCATAGTATTAAGCAGTCACAATTGGAATACACTTCGCACATTTGTGTAGATTGTAGGTACCACAATGGATAGTAGTACAGCTTTACTTGTGGTAAAATACTGAAAAACAGGTAACATTCGTGTTATTTATTTGTGTTAAACTACAAACAACAAAGTCGTAACCATGCCTAAACTAACACGATTGATTGACGAAAACATGGTGAGTTTAAAACCAACACCAGAACATTGTTTACTGGCCAACATTGACAGACTACAAGTCAAGTCCATTAACACGTACACTGTCAGTTGTCTAGTTACTTTGGGTTGGGAGTGAATAGTTTGTTTCCGACTGACTTACGTATTTATTCATATCAACGGACACACCATTTACAAAATATATGTGTTTTAAGCACATGAGCAGAATGAAAAGATAAAAAACAAGAGAAGTTACATAATGACCATGAAACAAAGCAGCATTGCAACAAAAAATTACAACAAGACAAAATGACTGGCCTTAAAATAAAGCTATAATAATAATACTATTGTCTGACAATATACATTGTATCGACATTACAATCATTCTCAATTTAAGGTAAGTTTTAATTTAAACTCTTTATAATTTCATTTTTAAAATTTTTATAAGTTTTTCATAGAATTCTTTGATAGAACAATCAATCTATATATCAATCTGTATCTTCAGTGAGGATTTGTTTCATTTTTTT